GTTAACAGGGTTTTCACCTTTTAGTGATGTTCATTATGATCTTTGGACTCAGGTAGTGTTGGCTTGATTACTTTATTTCTTTATTGAAACACGATTGTACATATCTGTGGCGTATATCATTGAATGTCAACAACTGTGTGCAATATATGATATTCAAGTCAGGATACTTAGTACACTCATCATTATACAATGTAATCATTTATTGAGGCACTTTACCAATTTCTCAGTAAATCTTCCCCTCTTCACTCTTTTCTACTTCTAGTGGACTCAGTTCTGTTCTTCCCTTTCAGAAAAATCAATGAATTATTATGATTTTCCCATCTTTCTTTCTTTCCTTATATTTTTTGCTTTTCATCTATAAGTGAGGAACTGTGGTATTTTCCTTTCTGTGCCAGGCTTATTTCATTTAATATAATTGTATCTAAGTTCATCCACGTTGGTGCAAATAGCAGAACTTCATTCTTTTTTATAACAGAGTAGTGTTCCATTATGTATATATGCCCCATTTTCATATTCAGTCATCCATTGATGGAAATTTAGGTTGGTTCCAACTCTCAGCTATGGAAAATAGAAATGGAAGTAAAGGTATCTCTTTGACATGATGATTTCCATTCCTTTGAGTATAGACTCAGCAGTGCGATTGCTGGGTCATATTCCACAAGGGGTGGGGAAAGGAAAAGATATTGAAAAACTATTCAGTGAAATAATGGTGGAAAACTTTCTGGGTACAAACAGATATGGTCGATCACATCGAGAAGGCTCAAAGATCAACACACAGATTAAATCCAAAACTTCCCAAACCCCAGGCACAGTATAGTCAAATTGACAAAGCTCAAGTACAAAGAGAGAATCTTAACAACAGCAACAGATAAGTGTCAAATTACCTATTATGGATTACGTATCAGACTAACATCAGACTTCTCAACAGAAACACTGCATGTCAGCAGAGAATGGAACATTATATTGAAAATATTAAAAGAAAAAGACTGCTGACCAAGAATACTATAGCCAGCAAGGCTATCTTTCAAAAAGAAGGAGAAATAGTGTATTTCCCAGACAAAAACTGTGGGAGTTCACCACCACATGACCAGCCCTTAAATTTTTCATCAACAGAGTCCTGAATCTGTAATCCAAAAAGTCATAATCACTAATACAAACACACTAGGAAGAACAAAACTCATTGGTAGAACAAAAATGGAGAAGAGAAAGAAAAAGAAACTGTACCTTCCTTACCACTTCACACACACACGCACACACACACACACACACACACAAATTGACTGACAAACAACTTAAGGGGAAGAAAGGAGCAGAGATATTTAAAACATCCAAACAAAACTTGATAAAATGCCGGGAGGAAGTCAAAGCCTTTCAATAAAACCAGTAAAAATAAATGCATTAAACTCCCCATACAAAAAGCTAGGTTATTTTGTTTTAAAATTACCCACCATGTTTTCACTCAGTGATTTTAATACCCACCTAAATCACCACCTGATGCATTTTTTAAAATTAGGAGTTCTAAAATTGTGGTTTTCTAATTCTATTTTTTTTCCTACTTTTATTTCTTCAGAACTTCCTCTTTTTAACTGTTAGGTGGCCCTGAAATACAATTCGTATAGGAAAGTTAAAACAAATATTTGTTTTATTTCATTTACAATGTTCAGAGTTTTGAATTATTACCCAAATAAACTTTAATTGCAGACAATGGCTTATTACTTTTATATTTTTTATAATCTAGATGCAGTCAATATTCATTGTTATGTTAAATTTTTCTAACCATACAAGTAGGAGTGATTTCCAATTGTCTCCTAGGTCAATTTGAGATGCTTTGACTAGCCGCTGATAGCATTTTAGGTTTTGTGAAAATTAAACTTCCCAAGGCTAATATTGTATATTTTCTTTTTTAAAAAATTATACATACATGTAGGGTACAACATGGATTTTCAATAATTGTGTAGAATGTGTAGTGGTTAGATCAGTATAGTTAGTTTATTCATCATTACAATATGCAATCATTATTGGTATCATTGACCAATTCCTCTTAGCCCCTCTCCCTCTCTCCTCACCTCCCTTTTTCCACATCCTGTTTTCTAAAAGTTGAACATATTACCGTAAATGTTGTTTCTTTCTTTCTTTCTCTCTGTCTCTCTTTATTGTTCATTTGTTTATTTATGGATTCAGCTTCCAGCTATGAGTGAGAACATGCAGTATTTCTCTTTCTATACCTTGGTTGTTTCACTCTGGATAATTTTCTTCAGGCTCATCCATGTTGTTGCAAATGGTAGAATTTAATTATTCTATATGACTCAGTAGTAAAGAGCTCAGACAACTTTACAGGAAGACAATATAATAATCCAATTAAAAATGGGGTAAGGAGCTGAATAGACATTTCTCCAAGGAAGACATACAAATGACCAACAGATATACGAAATAAATGCTCAACATCAATAATCATAAGGGAAATGCAAATCAAAACCACTTTGAGATATCAAATCACCCCAATCAGACAGGCTATTACAAAAACGACACAGAATAACAAATGCTGGGGAGGGTGTGGAGAGAGGAAAGCTCCTGCACTGTAGTTGGTACTGTAAATTAGTGCAGCCATTATGGAGAGCAGTATGGAGGTTCCTTAAACAACTAGAGGTAGAACTGCCATATGATCCAGCAATCCCACTCCTGGGGATATATCCAGAGGGCTATAAAACATCAGGTCAAAGGGACACCTTTATTCCCATGTTTATTGCTGCTCTGTTTACAATAGCTAGGCCATGGGACCAAACTAAAAGTCCATACATGGACAACTGGATAACCTTATATATTTTCAATCCTAAACATCAAATTAGCAATTTCTCTAAAAAGCCCTAGTTCTGTTTGGAGGGAAGAAGGTTTTATTTTAAAGGAAATTTGGAGAACAGGAATGTTTATTACTATTGAGTTATAATTTTAAGTTGTAATTGCTTCAGAGAAAAATATTATATCAATCTGAATTTCTAATTTATATTAAGATAAAAAAATTTATTTACCTTTCATTAGTTTAGAATTTTAAACCTTTTTCATAGGTTGACAACTTTGGTTTCAATCACCTTTAAATAATTATTTTATTATTATTATTAATTTTAAGTTCTCTTTCATTTCTTCTTTTATTATTTTTATTTTTACTTATCTCTCTTCTTTCACACATTTTATCATACTGTAAAAATGTTTTTAAATCTTTTCTTTATTCACAAGAATATTCTGGGGAACAAAGATAGCAATATATAGACTCCTTCTTTTGTCCATTTTTCCACTTGTATACTTTTATATTTTGACCCATAGTTTATTCAACCACCTTCATGTTACATTTTACTCAGTCTGTTGTTGTTATTAAATAATTCTTATGGGTATGTTGTTTGTAAATATTTTTGCTACTATACCTTTGAGATAGATTCCTAGAACTGTGCATTCATTCAAGGAGGATAAATATGATGTGTACTGTCACTAGTACTTCTAATCTCCTACTGTAGCTATTGCGATTTGTTACATTCCTGCTCAAAATGTATAAAAATGCCTGTTATCCCACAACTTCACTTACAGGGTGTGCTATAAACTTTTAGATTTCTGCCACACCAATAGATGAGAAATGATAATTCAGAGCAGTTTTAATTACTGTTTCTGCTACTAGGAGTCAGGCTGAACAACTCTTCGTATGTTTAAGGCTATTTGTGTTCCATTTACTAGAGTATGTAATTATATCTTATGTATATTTTTCTATAGTACTCTCATTTTCACCTCTAATATATGTGATATAAGTAGTGACTGGTCCTCAGTTTTTCATTTGTCACTATAATTACTTTTCTGTAGTTTATGCAAAAAAAGATTTTTTGTACTCATGTCACCTTAATCTTAAACCTGTTTATGGAACTCTATTTTGCTGTTTGAAAAAAAACAAACATATATAATTTTATTTTCTTATATGGCTGTCAATTTGTCCCTGTATGACACTTTTTAATAGTAGAAACTTAATAAATTGTTTTAAATTCTGTATGGTTAGTTTCTTATTCGATTTTTGCTTTAATTTCTAGGGTGTTTGTTACTAGATATTTGTGTTTGTTTAGTCATTTATGTAATCATTAACAAAGAAGTTTTGAAATCTGCTCCTTCAATATACACATTCATTCTGTATGAATTAGACTGGACAACACTTGCAGGGGTGTACAGATCTGATAATACTGGGATTCACTATTTTGAGTAATAATATAAAAGTGCAATCTAAGAATATTGAAATGATTCCAGTGACTGTCCATTCTGAAGGACAAAATTGATCTCTATGAACTCTCATGCTTATTTCCTCAGAAGTATTGTAGATAAATGCACTAGATTTGGAATGAAAACAGTTAAGTCTGTCTTAAATCTCTCATTTCAGTCATTACTAGACTATCTCTTCAACCATTTCTGTAGTCATCTGTGTAGCAGATGTAATTATACTTTTTTTTATTTACTTCTCAACATGAGCTGTTTCAAGTGCAAGGCTTTTTATTTATAGAAATCCCAAAATCTAAGAGATGCAGATGTCTGAAAATAATTACAGCCCTTTCATCACACAGCATATCCACCTGTATCTGCTAACAAAGACACAGTGCTTCAGTGACACACAACAAAAAACATCTATAAAGTCAAGGTTTCATCTGTGTACACATTAGATTAGAAAAGACCACACAATGGAGAAATAACATCATTCTCTCAGTTACATTATTCTCCACATTAAGTCATCTATTGTGCTCTGTAATATTTTTGTGTCTGTTTCAGAGAATTGGAAAAAAATGATACTTTATGGATACAAGTCCTGTGGCATTCATCTCAGAATTGTCTTCCTTGACATCTTCAAGGGATTTAAATTTATAATTCATGCATCATAACCATCTATGAAAAACTCATATAAATATGTCTTTAAGTTTTAGAAACATTTTAGACTCAGTTCCAGTTGTTCATTAAGACTGAAAACATCTTTTGAGATTGGTTCAATGAAGTGGAACTTTTGTGTGTGTTAATTTCCTAAAGGCATCCTTCACATATTTATTCCTCAGGCTACAGATCAGAGGGTTTAGCATGGGATTGGTGATGGTCTTGGGAGTTGGGCACACAGTAAAGGGAAAGGACAGTCATGTGGAAGATGATGATGCAGGTCATGTGGGAGGCACAGGTGGAGAAGGCTTTGTGATGCCCGCTGGCAGAACGGATTTTTAGTACAGTCATGAGAATGAAAACATAGGGTGTGAGGATGACCAGCAGTGTACTCACCTCATTGAAGGTGGCAAAAGCAAAAAACAGCAGGTGGGGGATGTGAACATCAGAGCTCGACACAGCGATGAGAGCAGTGTACTTACAGAAAAAGTGGTTGATCACATTGTGTCCAGAAAAATTTAGATGGAGAGCATAGCAAAGGAGTGCCATGGGGCCCGTCATACCCCAAAGATATGACCAAGCCACCAATTCCTTAGGCTGTAGATCAGAGGGTTCAGCATGGGATTGATGACTGTGTAATATACAGAGGCCCCTTTGAATGTTTGTCGAGAGTTTTGGGAGTTGGGCACACAGTAAAGGGAAAGGACAGTCATGTGGAAGATGATGATGCAGGTCATGTGGGAGGCACAGGTGGAGAAGGCTTTGTGATGCCCGCTGGCAGAACGGATTTTTAGTACAGTCATGAGAATGAAAACATAGGGTGTGAGGATGACCAGCAGTGTACTCACCTCACTGAAGGTGGCAAAAGCAAAAAACAGCAGGTGGGGGATGTGAACATCAGAGCTCGACACAGCGATGAGAGCAGTGTACTTACAGAAAAAGTGGTTGATCACATTGTGTCCAGAAAAATTTAGATGAAGAGCATAGCAAAGGAGTACCAAGGGGCCTGTCATACCCCAAAGATATGACCAAGCCACCAGGAGGTCACAGAGACTGTGTGGCATGGCCACTGTGTAAAGCAGAGGATTACAAATGGCCACAAAGTGGTCATAGGCCATCACTGCCAGCAGGAAGGACACGGTCACCACAGCTGTGCAGGAGAGGAAATACTGCAACATGCAGCTCAAGTAGAAGATGCTCCAATCTGTTTCATGCTTCTCAGCCTGAGCTTGTAGCCTCATGGAGTATTTCTTATGACAACTTGCATATGGATGAAAGCACTGAGACCTTATTTTCAGATTGTTTTCCATTATCTGATGGGACCACCAAAAAGTGTCTAGCTGCAGCACTATAACCCTGCTCAGGTATATCTCTGTGATGCAGTGGTGAATAAAAATTCCTCTAATACTTAGAAGTTCAAAAAGTATGCTTGGAAAATTGAGATCACCTTTTGACACCTATGAGATGGTCTCTGTGGCAATACTTTACACGGATGGAATATTATCCTCCAGAAGGTGTTATATACTCTAATTCTGCAACAAATATGCATTGCTGTTTCTCCATTGATTATTTTTATGAGTCCCACTATTAATGAATAGAAAGTACAAATGGGAGTGGCTCTTCTACCTATCAACCTTAATCAGGTACTAGCTAAATCTTCGCTTACCATAAGTAAACCATGAGCTCTAGTACTTTATGTCTTGTCTCACAAGGGAGTGAGGCTTTCACAAGGGGTACAGTGTTGGATTCATTAAGTTGGAATTGTGACTTGACTGGCCAAGAAAATATGATGGAAGTGATGTGTGGATTCTGGAGTTGAGGCACTAAAATGGCTTATACACTTTACTATTACTTTCTTCAAACATTGCTCTGAGATCACCATAAAAGGAAGACATTGTATGCTACTAGAGAATGAGAGATTTCTTGGGAAAATATTGAGGCATCCCAGGCAACAGTCAACACCAAATCACCTAACAAACAAATGGTATCATCTTGGAAGCTTTAGTATTGGCAGAATTGCTATGTCATTGCAGCAACATGAGTGAGGACTGTTATTGTATGAGATAGGGAACTCACACCAGGTCCCATGCAAACGTCTGGACCCAGAATGCTAAATCATAGCATTATTTTGAGAGGGGATCTACTTTGAGACAGCATCTTGCCTTGGGGCCAATAGCCCCATACGAATCCATTATTCCACTGCACCCACACAGAAGACTGCAGAGCCATGACCCCATCTTAACCCAGTGATACAGTCATGACCCTTGCACAAAAGTGAACAAAGCACCACCACATACCGGAGGTATAGGCAGACCATTGCAGTGAATAGGCTGACTCCAGGAACAGGGTTGCCCACACACACACACTGCTCAGAGTTTGGGAGTCACCCATCTCAAGCCAGCAGCATGGTAACATAGAAAATTATAAAACTCACTCATGGAGCACATACACAAATGAGAAGGAAAATTTCATGTGAACATTCTGCTACAGAAAACCACCAAACCACAAAGGTAAATAAGAGAAGAAAGAGAACAAAGGATATATAAAGCTACCAGAAAATAATAAACAAGAGTAAGCCTTACATATCAATCATAACCTTAAATGTAAATAATGACAAGAGTAAGCCTCACATATCAATCATAACCTTAAATGTAAATGGTTTAACTTCCCTAATGAAGACATAAAGACTTGCTGAATGTATTTAAAAATAACACCCATCTATATACTCCCTACAAGAAACTCATCTCACCTGTAAAGACACACAAAGAATCAAAGTGCAGGGATAGAAAAACATATTCCATGGAAACCAAATCCAAAAATGAGCAGTATTAGTTATACTTGTATCAGATAAAAAAGACTACAGAAATTAATGTATAGAGAGACAAATGACTTCATTATTTAATGATAAAGGGATTATTTCAGCAAGAGGATTTACCAATTATTCAAATATATACACCTAAAACTGGAACTGTCAGACATATACAGCACATTTTATTTGATGTAAAGGGAGAGATAGACCCCCTCCAGTACAAAATAGTCGGGAAATTCAACACACTATTCTCAGCATTAGACAGCTTAGTTAGATAGACAGAAAATCAGCAAACAAGTTCCTAAACTAAATTGTACATCAAATGGACCTAGCAGTCATTTATAGAACATTCCATCTTAAAGTTACAGAATTCACATTCTTCTTATGAATATGTGCAACATTCTTCAGGGAAGATTGTATGTTAGGTCACAAAACAGGCCTCAACCAATTTTATTTTATTTTATTTATTTATTTATTTTATTTATTTATTTTTTATTTTATTTTTTTTTTGTTAAATTTTTATTTTGTCAATATACAATATATATGATTATTATGGCCCATCACCGACACCTCCCTCCCTCCTCCCTCTCCCCCCCCAAGAATGTCCTTTCCGTTCTCAACCAATTTTAAACACTCAAAATCATATCAAATGATTTACATTATTAAATCTAAAATGTAAAACAAAAACAAAATCAAGAAAGAAGGAAAATAGTAGGACTACAGCTAATATCTCTGATAAGCATAGATGCAAAAGCCCTTAAGAAAAATAATAGGAAGTCAAATCCAACAGCACACAGCATGATCAACTAGGATTTGCTCAGGTATGGTTCAATCTATGCAAATCAATAAACATGATATGTGATATATCACATCAATGGAAAGAAAACAAAAACCATTTGACCATCTATCAAATGCAGAAAAACATCTGAAAAAATGAACAATGCTTCATGATAAAAAAATCTCTCAACAAATCAGGCATAGAAGGGAGAACTTGAAAATGTTTTCTCTAAGAACTGGAAGAAGTCAAGAATGCCAAAATTCGTCACTGTTATTCAATATAATACCAGAATTTCTAGCAGGATCCATTAGCCCAGGGAATAAAATAAAGGGCATCCAGTTTGGGAAGGAGATGATCAAATTATCCCTATTTGTAGGTGACACAGTCTTATATATAGAAAATCCTGAAGATTCCAATAAAAACTCTTTCAAATTGGTAAAAACAATTCAGTAATGTTGCAGGGTACAAAATAAACATACAAAAATCAATAGCATTCCTTTACACTAACAGGAAGCTAGCTGAAAAGAAATCAAGAAACCCCATTTACAATAGCCACAAAAAAAATAAAATAACTTGGAATAAATTTAGGCAAGAGGTTGAAAGATTCCACAAGGAAAGCTATAAAATACTGATCAAAGAAATTGAAGAGGACACCAAAAACTTGGAAAGACATCTCATGTTCATTGATTGAAAGAATTAATAAAGTAAAAAGGATCATACTACTCAATGCAATCTACAGATTCAACTCAAGATCTATAAAAATGTCACTGATATTCTTCACAGAAATCGATTACAAAAATGCTAAAGTTTATATTGTATAGAACCACAGAAGACCCCAAATAGCCAAAGCAATCCTAAGAAAGAGTAAAACGGGTGGCATCACACTATCTGACCTCAAAATAAACTACAATACATAGTAACTAAATCAGCAAAAAAAATGGACACATAGAGTAACAGAACAGAAAAAAAAAGAATGAAACTAAAAAGTTTCTCCACAACAAAGGAAAGAATTAACAGAGTAAAGAGAACACAAGCAGAATAGAAGAAAACATTTGGGAACCTTTCACCCAATAAAGGATTAATACTCAGAATATACAAGAAAATCAAACAGCTCAAAACTAAATAATAACAGTAATCTGATCAAAAAAAATGGGCAAATTATCTAAACAGGCATTTTTCAAAAGAAGACATACAAATGGCCAACAAGGGTATAAAAAAAAATGTTAACATCACTAAACATCAGGGATATGCAAGTCAAACCCACAATGAGATATCATTTCAACCAGTAAGAATGACTACTATAAAAAAATGCAAAAACTAACAAATCTGGCAAGGATGCAGAGAAAAGAGAATCTCATACACTGTTGGTAGGAATGTAAGTTAGTACAACCGTTAAGGAGAACAAGATGGAGAATGCTCAAAAACTAAACATAGAAATACCATAGAATCCAGCAATCCCACTACTCGGTTTCTATCCTAATGAAAGAAAAATAGTATATTAAAGAGATATCAGCACCCCCATCTTCACTGCATAGTTAGCCCAAGATATGGAATCTAACTAAGTGTTCATTAATAGATAAATAGATAAAGAAAATGTGGCATTTATACACAATGAAACACTAGTCAGCCATAAAAAAGAATTAAATTCTGCCATTTGAAGCAGCATGGATGAGCCTGGAGCACTCTACATTAAGTGAAATAACCAGACAGAGAAAGATAAATACCACATGTTCTCACTTGTACGAGGGGCCAAAAACCTTAATCTCACACTAGTGGAGAGTAGGATACCAGTTACTAGATGCTGGGAATAATGGGGACTTGGGAGGGGAAGGTTGCTTAAAAGATACAAAATTACAACTAGATAGTAAGAATTAATTTTAGTGTTCTGCAGCACTGTAAGGTTAGCAAACAACAATTTATTATATAATTTCAAACAGCTAAAAAGAGGTTTTTGAATGTTCCCAGCACAAATAAATGATAAATCCTTGAGGTAATGGGTTTTCTAATCACCCTTATTTAACCATTACATATTTTATGTATCAAAATATCTCTCTGCCATCTACAAATATGCACAATTATTACGTGTTAATTAAAAACAATAACTAATATATGAATTTTGTAAAAAAAAATATTATCTACTACTACAAAAATACAGATCAGCTTTAGAGGGTAGGAAGTAACTTTCACATAATGTTAGGTTTTCGTAGAAAGATTCTTTGTGAATGAGACATTTGAATAGAAACACAATTTTGTAGAAATATATATTTTTAATAGTATTGCATTGAGTGCTAAAATATTTTGGAGTCTACTAACTTTTGCACAGGCTGTTTCACATTTTGTACTTCATGTGCATTCAGCACGGTGTATAACACACAAAGCCTACTTTCACAATTGCACAGGAGATTTTCGCACACTAGAGAGAAAGGATATTGGTGAGGTTGGAAACACAGGCAGAGAAGGATCTGATGCCCATGGCTAGATGGAAATAGTTGAAAGGAATAGTTGAATATTTTAGGAAATAGTTGAAGCTGAAAGCTAAAAAATGGTAAATACGAGCTTTCTTAACTCATGAAAACTGTCTTAAGAAGATAAGAAATAAAAATAACACAATTTGGATGAAATGAACAAAATCCAAAATGCCAAAAGATTATTCA